GTTTTGTCTACTTTTCCCCATGTGGCTGTACCCGCAATTTTACTACCTGCACTTTCGTCAGAGCTACTTTCACTTTTATGTCGGTGGCTACACTTGTTTGTTGACCCCTGTCACTGCCACTGTCTCAGTTTCACTACTCCTCTCACAAGGCACATCAAATAGCTCATCGGAGAACGAGTAAGATATTTCTTTTTCCCCAAGATATCGCTTTGTCTTCAACTGCTTCTGTCCTTGATTCATATTGCACTAACATCCTGCCTGGTACATAACAGCTTGAAGGGTCAAAGATTATTTTCCTTTGGAGGGAGAACCAAAACAGCGAGGTCAAGTTACTACCTACTAGGCAAACATTCCGGAGTAATATTACGCAGTAGTCATTCATTTGGGTGGCGCCAGAGAGATGTATAGTGTGTTGCAACTTATCGTGTTCTAAAAGCCAGTTAACAGGCGAACAGTCCGCCGTGTTTGAAAGCGAAAAACCTTTTAAAAGGTGCACGGTCCACAAAGTGTTAAAAGTGCCAATGTTGGCATGGAACATTTTGGGATTCTGAAGGATTAGACCTAATTAATTTCAGTACTGCTATTTTCACTACCTAAATTTCAATTCTGAGATGACAGTAATTCATCAAAATATTTGTTGTAGTCATTATGCTATTATTTTCTGTTATATTAAAAAATTACTCTAATGGTATCTGTGTGACTCACCTTCAGCTAGTGCTAAGGTCAAGAAAACCTTAGTCTTCCTCATATTTCTTCTAGACATAGTGTTTAATAAGTCAAGCACAGGGACAACTTTTACCTGTTTTTATTTTTATTGATGCCTAATGGTACCTGTAACTTACTGAAACTTTTGGGTCATTAAGAAAGTTCTGAAGAAGAAATTCTGTTCCTTCAGTATCCTAAGAAGAACGCAGATATTGGATGGCGTATAGAATGAGGGATGGAGGCTGACCATTTTTGTTTTATTGACAAAATTGTTCCATTGTTAGTTTAAGAAGTAATTTTCTTCTTTGAAGTCATGGAATATTTCTGTAGATAGTACATGATTATTGCATGTTTCAGATCTTACCCACAGTGATTCCTACTTTCTTTTTCATGTTGTTGTCTATTCCACGCGCACAGGTGTGTGTGTGTGTGTGTGTGGGGGGGGGCAGATATCCCCTGTCATATATAGGTCATGCATCTTCACCATTAATATCAGTTGTGTAGTTGGCCTCTTTACTCCAATTTCTATATGGGTTTCAGTAGAATATCATTTATTGACTACAGTAATAGTGTATGGACATGGAGTTCAATTAAAGTGTCTGTTAGCATCTGATTTTTTGCATAGTCATATACAGTGAACTCTTGATTATCTATGATAATGGAAAGGAGTTAATTGGAAATAATTGATACCCTAAATATGCTACTGGTCCCTAAACACTGAGACAGATTTCTTTCCAATAGAATAAATTAACCTTTGTTTAAGGCCGCGCCATAGCTCAAGCAATTAGTCGCTGGCTTCCCACTGCGGTGGCCTGAGTCTGGTCAAGTGGGATTTGTGGTGGACAAAGCGGCGCTGGGGAAGGTTTTCTCCAAGTACTTCGGTTTCCTCTGCCAATCTCCATTCCACCAATTGCTCCAAAATCACCCTCACCTATCATCTGGGGCTGGTACAATAGGCCAGAAGTGGCCGCANAAAAAGTTTCAGCAGGTTGAGAATATGTATAGTCTACTGCAGATCGTTGTAAAACATCACTGATACATATTACTGAAACATATGTAGTGGACAATACTTGAATCATTAGAGGAACCTGTACTAAATAATTAAGGGGTTCTAAAATCCTGCAGTTAATCCCTAAAACAGATAATCAACACACATAACAGTCAAGAGTGTACTGTATATTGACATACATTGATAAATTAAATTGCTTTCTTTTCTCCATTATCTTCTCTATTGCAAAGTTAGGACACATACAGTATGTCCTTCTGAAATCTGTTTTGTGTATTTGCCAGTATTCTGTTATTCTTGTTCTTAGAAGCTATTCCTAATTATCCCTTTCATAATAGGGCCACTAATTTTTTATGTATCTTTTTATTCAATTTAACTGCTTTTTGATGACAGACATGTCCAGCTTTCATTAAGAAACCAATCCATATTTTAAGTGAAACGTCACAATGACCTTTCTTTTTAGGGTCCTCGTGGTGAGCCAGGAGTGAAGGGTCAGCCTGGTCTTCCTTGTGAACAACAGCCTGACTACTTGACAGGAATACTGCTTGTCAAACACAGTCAAACGATAGAAGTGCCACGCTGTGAGCCAGGGCACATAAAACTGTGGGATGGTTACAGTCTGCTTTATATAGAAGGCAATGAGAAGGCCCATCACCAAGACTTGGGTATTCAAGTTTTTATTTTATATTATAACATCTACATATTGTTATTTTATAAAAATACTGTGACGTGTTGGGTGTATAACGCGACAAATAACTTCACGCTGTTCTGGATCTAGCGAATTTATTGAACACTTGCTCTCACATTCACACAGTTCACAATTACAATTACTGCCATCGGTAGTATCACAAATACTTTTCCTGTAGTCACTGCCATGCACTCGATACAACCTGCTACAATTCACTGACTGGTTGATCGTTACTCACTAGTAACTCACTCACTCACTCGTAACTGGCTCAATCCTCACTAGTGAATAGTGTTCGCTGCTCCTTATTTAGGCTCGGCATGAACAACACAGAAAACAGTTACGCGATGGGTACCACTGTTGCTTAACATCGTGTTTTCCTATTGCCTAGCAACGCTGTCAAGAGTTGTTTACTGCTGTGTAGTAACCGTGGTATCCCTTGTTACGTCACTGTGGGAAGTGCTGTTACATCACCATGGAAATGGTTGCCTGACACAGTTGCTCTTCTGTTACGTATCTGCAGGGGAGGGGGTGTTTACCGAGCAGTGCGTACTGATGGAAGGAGTGGGGGTATGTGACATCACTTGCGAGACCTCAGAGTTCACATGACCCCTACTTCCTGTTGCGCCATCCACGTCACAATACAGATGAACACACAACACCAATTGTAGGGTGACATATAACCCATGACAGTTGGTTTCTATAGGTTCTCTTAACTTTTGAAATGGTGGTAAGCTTGAGCTGGCCAGAGTCTATTTAAATGCCCGCTGCTGTTGTGCATTTAAATGACCGTTGCTACTCTGCATTTAAATGTCCAATCCTGTTAGGGCGCTTAAACAATTTTAAGCCTTGTGTTTAAAAATACTGTACCTAACACAATTTTTATGATAAATGGATGGAATTAACTTTGTTTATGTCAGCAAAGAACATAGTGGCGCATATTACAACGGAAGATTTGAATTTTTTTATGCAAAGAGTTATACTCTATTTTCAATTTTTCTCTTTTAATTTTGATGTGTACTGTAAAAATGGTTTCCCAGTTCTTCACAGAGTTGTTCTGCATTATAAATTCATTTCTGCTTGTAACACTTGACAAATTTTAGCAGTCCCTGGTGTCATAAAACAGATGGAATCAATAAAATCATTTGATTCTCTGCTGGAAAACCTTACATCTTTGTTACACTCTTCAGATTTTCGAATCTTTTGACTATTTTTTTTTTATTGCTAGTGGGGTGGGACTAAGTCCCTTGTACTGTGGCCACTTCTGGCCTATTGTACCAGCCCCAAAGATTAGGTGAGGGTGATTGTGGAGCAATTGGTGGAATGAAGATTGGCAAGGGAAACCGAAATACTCGGAGAAAACCTGCCCCAGCTACACTTTGTCCAACATAAATCCCACTTGACCAGACCCCGGGATCGAACCCAGGCCGCTGCGATGGAAAGCCAGCGAATAACCACTTGAGCTATGGCGCGGCTCTCAATTTTTTGACTAAAGGACAGAAGAATGAACACATGGCTATTCAAGAAAAAGCTAGATGGAACAATTCAACGGTCCCTTCTTCAGTGCTAATACCTTCCGTTATAGCTGCAGGAGATTTTGCCCTTTCTGTGGTCGTGAACAGACAGTTGCATCGTGGCTGAGATACAGAGTGTGATCTGTTTTATGTGCGTTCATAGTGAAATCGAATACTGTAGTTTCATTTCAACCTATATATACATCAAGCAGATAACAACAAAAAAGGTATGTACATTGAACTTTACTATATATTTTTAACACATTAATCTGCAGAATCTGCAGTAAAAGTACTGGCTCTTGGATGAGTTTTGGTTTAACTCATACGTATACTCCCTTTTGTTGTTGTTCACTTAAGTATCATTTTAATTCCCATATTATGGTTTTACTCAAGTCTCTGGTAATTACTACATTTAAAAATAAATATTTAGTACTGTGCATGTGCTTCTACTAGTGGTGTGTGCGCACGCTTACACTAGCGGAGTTTAAATGCCCGACTGGCCAAAACGGGATACTTTGGTCATGACGACCATACTCATCACTGGCCCGATCGGGGCACTTCAGACATCAAAGGTTAACAGTCTGATATGATTACAGAAAACTCTCAGGTATCAAAGCATCCTGAATTCTCATAAAAATACATTTTTATAAAGTTATCCAAAAACGAATTTGCAGTGTGCAGATGTTCATCTGCCATGTCATAGTTCGTCCAGCTGACATTAGCAGCGCTACCAGTCAGCCATTGTAACACAGATGACATTATAGTAGAGGCTAATTAAATTTGTGATCATGTTACAGTATATGTCTCTGAAATGTTTCAATCATCAGTCAATGCTGCTGCATAAGAAAATACCCACATAAGAACTAATGTGAGAATATGTTGTTCTGACTTTGTATTGGATTTCTGTAAGAGTTTTCCTCTATGTAGCAAATTCATATAAATGGCATATCCCATTCCACATTCATGAGATATAACGGGGACTTTAATATAAGTGAAACCTCTTGAATCATGTACTACAAAAATATGTTTTTTTTTAACACTTCGAAGGCAGGATGGAGAAAGATACAGTCCTTGTTTTGTTTTTTGAACAAGGAATTCCTTGTGGAATAAAGTGTGTAGTAAATACATGAACACAACATTCCCCGAGTCCAAAATTAGCGAAAAATGCTTGTAGAATGTGGAATAAGTCATAACGACAAAACATATAAGTACAGTAAACTGAAGTTTCTACATAGAAAATGAAAATATATAATATAAAATACTGAATATGCGGATGTTTCATATAAGGTATATATCATTAATTTCGACTTATGCTATTTTTACAAACATTCGAATATATTGTAAGATTTGAGGCTTTCACGGCGGTGACTATGAAGAAAGCAGTCTTCTGGGCTTTGGCGCCGTGTATATGTGGTGTTAACCGACGTTTCGGAGGAACGTATCTATATTATCAGTCGTTTTTAGGCAATGGAAATTCAGAAGAACAGAATGAGTGTGTGTTTAAGTATATTTTTACTGCTACTTTGAATTGTGTAAACTGTGTCGTTTCATTCATAAAACTTTTGAGGCTAGATGGTAGATTGTTGAAAATTTCATTCCAGCAGTTCTACATCAAAAACTGTAATAACTGCATCAGTTAGACAATGTTTCATGGTGAAAGGTATGTGACTTTCTGTTATAGAATCAAAAGCTTCATGCACATATGAGTACAAACTTGTATAGAATTCAGTTATATAATTACACAAAGTAAATTTAATACACAAGTATATGAGCTGTCTGTAGCTTTATTGCAGAAAAATCTGCCATCAGATCAGAAGGCATTGCCAAACTACTACTTCTATCTTGGAACAGTGTTATTCTAAGATAGTTCTGAGGTAGTTTTTTTAATTGGTTGAAGTTTTCTTTTTCAAATGTTGCTGTGCTGTTGCCAGTGTAACTGCATAGAATAATTTTCTTCGAAATAATATTTGGCAGGTCAATTTTCCATGATAAAAGAATCATAATTTCATTACACAACCATTTTCCTGTCATTTTCCTTTATTTGGACCATGAGCTGCAGGTAGTTAGATGACTTCGTGTGAGATCTGTGATGAGCAAAGTGACACTGGAGTAGGTTTTTCTCAGAGTACCTTTAGTCTTTCCATGCTGATCATCATTTCACCATTGCTTCATACTGACTTATCCCGACCACCTGATGTGTGATAGCCAAGACCAGCCAACACGTTACACATCCTTGGTCTTTAATTTTGGGCCTTCATATCTGACCTGGCACTTCACTAGTTAGAGAGTAAAGACTTTTTTTTACATGATAAATTTGATGTTATCTATAATGAGTATGCATTATTTTTACTCTGCATATGTTCAGGTGGCATGTTTATCTTATGTATAACACTCAAGTATCAGTTGTTGAGTGCTTGGGTGGTTATTGTATTTCTGGGAATGGACATCCTTCAGAACATTTTGATAATCTATTTACAGAGGAAGTTAGTATAAATGAGTGATACTATGACCAAGAACATAGTCACTGAAGAAGAAAACAAATGGAGTATGTTCATTTACATGTAATGCAAACAGTGAAGAGTTGTACACAGTTATAAGAGAATGGTGTTTGGAATCTAAATATCTGTTATAGTCAGTTTTCTTTTCTTAAATTATGTTTTCTGCTACTCTTATGCTCAGTTTTAGTGCCCAGATCAAAATGTGTAATATGCCTGCAAGTGAAAAGTTTTCCAGTACACATGTGTTGACTGTCAGTTGACTGTACAAGGTGATAAAAATACTGGCTCTACTTAATATCTTTTTCCTTTCCTCAGGTTTTGCTGGATCTTGTATACGAAAGTTCAGCACAATGCCATTCCTTTTCTGTGACTTCAATAATGTTTGTAACTATGCCAGTCGTAATGACAAATCATACTGGCTATCAACCAGCTCACCTATACCGATGATGCCTGTGGAAGAAACAAGTATACGGCAATATATTTCAAGGTATGCACTGTAGTGTTCTGATATTAGTGGCACCATTGTCACTGTGGCATGTCATGTCTTCTGGCTGCAGATGGAGGGTAGCTGCAGGTATACTGATTAAGCAGTTGAGAAGGATGACAATACGAGGGGGTACCCAAAAGAAACCGAACTTATTTTTTTTAAACTTATCTGTTCAAATTTTAAGCACAAACCTTCAATTCCCTTCAAAGTACTCTCCACTTACACTAATACACTTGTCTAGTCTTTTATTCCATTTTTCAAAACATTGTCTAAATTCATCTTTTGAGATGCTTGACAGTGCCTCCGTCGTTTTTTCCTTTCATGTCTCTTTTCATTCAAGGAAACAAAAAAAGTTGCATGGGGCAAGGTCGGGTGAGTATGGAGGGTGAGGAACAGTGGTCATACCATTTTTGGTCAAGAATTGTCGTACAGACAGGGCTGTATGAGCAGGGGCATTGTCATGATGGAAAAACCAGTCACCCGACTGCCACAAATCTGGCCACTGAGCTCCAAGTCACTCCCGACAGCTCCACAATTTCTTCAATGGTCCTTCGTCGATCTTCCTCGATGATTTCACGAATTTTTTCAACATTTTCATGTGTTCGGGCTGTGGAAGGATGACCAGAACGAGGTTTGTCATCAATTGACATTTCACCATTTTTGAAATGGGAAAACCACTCAAACACTTGGGTTTTCCCCATAGCATCATCCTTGTATGCCGTTTTTAACATTTGAAAAGTTTCTGTTCCACTTTTCCTGAGCAAAAAGCAGAATTTCACCGCCGCACGCTGTTCACGAAAATCAGCCACTGCAAAAACGACGATCTCACAAAACAGTTGTCACTATAAACTCTGCCGAAACTAGTCCTTACCTTCTGAAGCAACGGTAGTCGGTTTATCGACTCAGGAATGTTAGCTCTATGCGCTCATAACGGCAAAACATGGTACTACAAAAGCTCTGCCCACAAAAAAATTAGTTTGGTTTCTTTTGGGTACGCCATCGTATGTGGTCCTCCAGCTTGTTACTTCAAGCCTTATTTTAAATACTTGGTCTGTAGTGCAGGCAGTAAAAAAATGGAAGTCTTGAAGCTGGCACCATTAAGTCTGGTATAAGTTTGTCAGTGTTTTGAAGGAATGAAATGCCTCCATTTTCAACATCAAAGAGTAAACCAAGAAAGCATCAACAAGGCAGAAAAGAACGTAGGAATGTGGTCCCTTAAATGGGCTGTTTCTCATCTCAAGAATGAGGGATTTAAGAAAATGGAGTCTGATTTGCCACTGGGAGATGTAGGTAGAACCAAAGAGGAACAGGGGTAGCAGGCAGAGTAGGGAGGAGATGGAAAGAAGTAGCAGCATCACAGCATCATCAGAAGATAGTACTTATCTCACAAAAGAAATGAAAATATTATATTTGAGTGTTTCAGCATTCATCATAATTTGTGGATTAACCTTTATCATCTTAGTGGTCAATGTAGTAACATCAGTCATAAGGGGATCCATTACTTGTGGTTAATATACTAACCTCTGTTATTTGGATAGATGGTTAATAAATTAAAATTAAAAAGCTAGTTCCACTTTACTTCCAACACTGGATGCCCCTTCTAATGCTAGAATATCTGGAGACACAATCTTTGTCACTCAGCAAGTTGACTCAAGCAGTACCAGTTCTGACTTGTATTCCATGGGTGCTTGGTTTGAATCTCTGCTGGGACATCAACTATCTCAATAGGTTTTCCATGGTTTACACAGTCCCTCCAGGCAAAAATCCAGGATAAAGTTTTTAAATTAAGCCATGACAATTTTCTTTCACATCTTTTCAGTTTGTTATTCACAGTCATCCCATCAGTCTGTGCTATATAGTTTTGAGTTACAGACAGTGTCATAAAATGAACTCCAAATCCAAATCTTAACTTTTATTATATGAGAATAAGGGATTCAAGTCCCCATAATCCTGAGCTGGTAACTGGGTTTTAATTAGAGGTTCCTTTAGCTAGTAATAATGTTAATGTTTAAAAAAAATTATGTATTTTTGAAGTCTGCTCTGTACATTTGCATGTAAGTAGGACAGTCCCACAGCTATGTACATGAGCTACTGAAACTATTTCTGTGCGAGCTCTGAGGCTTGTCCTATGAAATATCCCATGTAAATATGGGCTAAGAGGAGAAGGTGAGGGGGGCAATAGTATGGTAGGAGTAATTCTCCAGAATTGAAGCAATATGGTTGCTGTATATGAAAATGCAGTTTAACCTGTAAAAGACATTTTGCTGTAAACCATGCCAGGCTGCAAACTAACATGCTTTTACCTCTGTATTCATCATCTTACTAAGTGGACCCATCCATCTTTACAGCTTTGCCTGTTATAATGGAATATCATTGCTGAGTTTAGAGAGAGAACTCTATATGGTGGCTGATAGTGCAACTGTGCAACTGCCTCTTATTTTCAAGGAGAAAAGAAAATATTTGGAATGTTTCTTTGATATTTCCCATGACAAATTGATGGCTGCCTCTCATGCATGTGTTGACTGTATTGGGCATGAAGGCTGTTATTACATCTCTTCATCCTTGAATCAAGATGTATTTGTATTTGTATTTGTATTTTATTTTCATCCGTTTTGCTACATAGTAACATTTGGACACGTCATTCAGTAATATAAGTTAACAAAATAAATCTACATAGTTACAAGCATACTACGAACTATATTGATTGATTAATTGATTGATTTATCCAGGAGTACAACTTAACAAACAAACCTACAAAGTTACAAGGATACTAACAACATTTTACAATCCTAAGCAATATGTAGATACTACATTTGAAAAAGAAAAAAGAAAAAAGAAACATACACAAATCATTGTATACAACTTATGATTTGCTATGACATCCAAATATGAGTACTTTCACTATCCATCTTTTTATTTAAAACTAACAAATTCATTTATCATGTAAAAGGAATATTTCAATAAAAAGGATTTTTAAGTCTCTTTTAAAAACTGAAAAACCCACTGAGTTTTTTATTTTGCCAGGCAACTTACTATGCAATTCTATCCCCATATTTACCACACTCTTTTTAAATACTGTAGTTCTACAGAACTGAACATGAAAATCCTTGTTTATTCTTGTATTATAACTATGAATATTTATATTCTGGATCAAATCTGCTTTGTGCTTTTTTATGTAACACAACACCTCTAAGATATACAACGAAGTAACCGTAAGGATGCCATAATCTTTAAAAATTTGCCTGCATGACTCTCGTTTACCAAGTCCACTAATTATTTGCAGCACCCTCTTCTGCATTCTAAATACCTTTATACTATCACCTTCACACCCCCAAAATATTATGCCATATCTCAATAATGATTGAAACTTTGCAAAATAAATGCTTCTTAACATATTTGGACTCAAAACTCCTCTTAGTGATTTAATTATGTAGGATGTTTTACTAAGTTTTGAACATAATGACTGGATGTGGGTACTCCATTTAAGGTTTTCTGTAATATCTATACCTAAAAATCTCAGTTCTGATGAATAAGCAATTTCCAAGTTGTTATAAAATATCCGTGGTCTCACTACAAACCTACATTTACTAAGATGGAATGACATAGCAACTGTTTTTTTAATATTTATTAAGAGGTTATTTACCTGAAACTATGTTTCAAGCTGTTTCATGATCTTATTTATATTCTGTTGCGCTATGCCTTCCTCTTTATCAATAACAAGCACATTAATATCGCCTGCAAACAGTACCATTTCTCCACCTTGTACATTTAGCGGGAGATCATTTATATACAGAAGAAACAGTAGTGGTCCCAGAATTGACCCCTGTGGTACCCCATGTATTGTTTCCCTTAAAGGTGATATATATTTATTTTGGGTCTTTTTAGGAATGCTGTGTTGCCAGAAGTACTTATGTACTTAGCTGCTAAGCCACAATGTCAAACACTGTGAAACACATTTTTACACAAATCCAGAAAGGACAAAAAAAGCACTTGTTACAGTAAAAATTCAGAAGAAAATGCTCTCATTAAAATTTATACATATTGGTATGCTTAATGTAATTAAAGTGACTATGCATAATAAAATTTGATCTAAAATTAAATACTTGTTATAGACTGTGCTTATTATGTGACAAGGAAATTATGAATAATACATTGATGAGCATATGTAAATCTTATCTTAAAGTCCCATTATATCATTAGGCTGGGGATGTTGAGGAATTTGGATAATATCTAACATCCAACACTTTATTTTCTTGGTGAAGTTAGTTATTAAGTAGATGAATTGCTTGATTTTTATTAAGAATAATATTATTACTCTAAATATCTGTCACAGTTTAGAGTAGCTGATACCTTAGATGTATTCCTGTTGGAATATGAGAGGCATAACCATATATATGTCATTATGCTTGCAGATGTGTTGTGTGTGAGGCCCCAGCAAATGTAATTGCCGTCCACAGCCAGTCTTTAGGTGTCCCTGACTGTCCACAAGGTTGGTCAGGACTATGGATTGGTTACAGTTTTGTTATGGTAAGTATCAGCAGCATGTGTCATGTTTGCTTGTCCTTTATTACATCCTTTATCAACTGCCAGTTACACAGGATTAGATGAAAAGTGATGGGATGGTTATAAACTGACCATGCTATTGGCAAGACCACTTGATTCCTTTACATGTATCTCTTAAGCACGAAACAGTGAAAACAGATGAGTGAGGGTTTGGTGGTTTATGAGAAAATGAACCTAGCATTGCAAGAATTAGGGTAATATCCTAGCATTTGCCTTTAGAATCTAGAGATAAGCATGAAAATTTATTAAGGATAACTGGCTATTTTATATTTGATGAATAATATGCAAAATTCAGTGTCAAGGTTTAGACAGTATTATAACCTTTAATACTGTTGTTTATGAGTGTGACTATAGATGGGGTTTAGATTGATGATCGGATTTATTGGACTCTTTGATACAACGTGTGACTACACTTCACAATTCACTGTTACACACACACACACACATACACACACATGAACACACACACACACATTAGTGGCCACAGTCACTTTTTCCTTATCCGTTGCTCAGTAGCAGCTTCCAATGGCAGACATTACCTTCCTCTGGGTTCCCAAACTGTCCCCAGCCTCCACTACCAGCTTCTCACAGCAACAGCTCACAATGACTGAACCTCAGCAGTTCTCTAACTAACTCACTAACTGGCTGACTAACTCAGTCAGTCATCAACCAACTCAACTGACTCAACTGACTGAAGTAACTAACTGTCCTGCTTATAACATCTTGGCATTGATCTCACAGAAAGCACTGTTCCTGTATTGCTGTTTATGGGCCATTGCCTAGTAATGATCATTGTCTTGTTGTTTGTTTCCCATTTTTTGCCTAGCAATGGATCTACATACCACAATACTATGAGCATGTGTTAAGCATCCCAAATTAGTCAGAACTTATACTCTAAATATTGTTTTCAGCATACTGCTGCTGGTGCTGAGGGAGGTGGCCAATCACTAGCAAGCCCAGGATCATGTCTTGAAGACTTCAGGGCCACACCATTTATTGAATGTAATGGAGCCCGAGGAACGTGCCACTACTTTGCCAACAAATTCAGTTTCTGGCTGGCAACTATTGAAGAGTCAGATCAATTCCAGACCCCTCAGAGTCAAACTTTGAAGGCAGGAAGCCTGAGGACAAGAGTTAGTCGTTGTCAAGTCTGTATCAAGAACACATAGGTAGCGGTGGTCAGACAAGCCACTCTGGTATCTGTCCTGCTAGTTGTTTGCCATGCAGACCGAATTGGGTTTAAGATGTGTGATAAGAGACAAGAAAGCAATATGTGAGAAATGCTGCCTGCACACATCTGAACTGATGACTCGAAAAACGGAAGTGAGTGGACGTCCTACATTTGTGTTCATACGCTGAGATTGTAAAGGTAACCACTTAAGTGATGTGTTCCTCTTCTGCTATTAAACTGCTTTCTCCAATCTGTATCTTGCCTACTGTAGTAATTGTGTATGGTCTTGCAAGCAGATGTGTTAAATAGTGTTGTGGTGGAAACAAAATGTAACAAGTATTAACATACAAGACAAGCTGCAATTAGAATGTGAGGTGGTTCCATATATTGTAAAAAAGAAGGAATTTGTACTTCTGATCATTGTTTTAGATGTATGAATTTCTATCTCTCCCCCACCTCTCCCCTTGTTTTTGCAATTGCATAATTTTGTTGGTGCTATCATTTTTTATGTTACTTAAGTGTATAAATTTCTCCCTGATTAAAATTGACTAGCAATTTAAACAAGGTAGTAGTTTTTTGTGTTTAACTACTTAAATCATTTTATAAAATATATATATTTATATCTCCTATGTTCACTGGTCTTTTTTATGAATTTGGTATAAAAGATATTTAATTGCATTGTCATCCAGCATTTTATGTTGGTGAAGAATTTCCATATGGATAGTGCCAATGATATGTATCAAGTTTAAAGCTCTAGTCGAGTGGTTTTATTACTGTTTCATCCTAGTGGTCTCATATCTGTACATTTTCTTCATTTGAGATAGTTTTATGCTTTCAAATAATTTCAAGACATGCCTTGCATTCCAATCATGGCACTCGCATGTATAATTTTTTAATATAAGTATAATGATTTTTATATTTACATAGACAAATGTATCACTGCCTTTTTCAAGTCACACATGTTGATCAAAGATTTAGTTTCCCCAGCAACTCTTTTATAGAGGGCTGCATGTACAGTTGCAATATATATAAGCCACAAAAAGTCAAAGTTTCTTTAGTATGTTCAGTGGTTTTATATCATTGAAACACAATTATTAATTTCATAAATGATTTTGAATTCAAAATGACCATGTGAATTACTTCTGCCATGAAAACTAAAATAATTATTAAATATTAATATAATTAATGCTTACTGGCACTGCCAGATTTCTTAGCACCCATGAGGAATGTGAACACTTGTGTTATACCCATGCAGTCTTTCTAAGATGTACAGTTACCTTGCAGGTAAGCACATACTAAAGCAAATTGACAATTACCCTTGTGTTTTACTGGTCTGTGTCAAAATATTATGAGGTCAGACTTTTGTATAATGTGCATTTACCTACAAGGCTGCTGCAAAATTAAAATCCTGTCAGTTTGTGTTTTTAACTGAATCATCTAATGGTGGGATGGCCAATGATAAACTATGTGTTAGATTTTTCCCATAGTCCAAAATGTTTAGTCCCTGCTTATGTCATCAGTAAATGGATCTTTCTTTGATATGCTCATTTTCATTCATTAATAATCAGTTCTATTTAGTATACTAGCATGCACGTTTCACTATACACTTGAGATATACACAAATCTGCATTTGTGAAACTAAAGATTATTTATCAGAATCTGAATAATTTATAGTATGAGTCAATGATAAAAATCTTGTTTGATATCCATATTTTAACAGCTATATTTTGCACATAAATTTTTAATAGTTATTTTTTTATCTGGGACAGAAATGGCCATGGTCATACCAATGTTGACCATCCCTGATGTAATGTATTTTGTCATACTGTATGTTTTTTCTTAAAACACTGCCAATTTGTAACATAGATAAAAATATATTTAAAAGAATATTATTTTATACTTACAAAACCAGTTCCTTGAGAATAATTAAAAATTATCCATGTTTCTGGGTTCATTTCAGTATTTGCCTTCATATACCCCTATTCCAGACCTCACAGTGCCAATGTCCAACTCCTTTAAGGGAGCAGCCAATAAAGGGTCTGACAGATTGTGTTAGTAAGATGTGGAATGTGTAACTGAAATGTGTTTCATGAGACAGCAAGCTAACCAAGCTTGCAGATATAAATGAAATGAAGAAATAGAGTACCTCAAATTTCATCAGTAACAGATTTTATAAAATGCTAGTAAGAATGTGATCTAACTTACCAAAAAAAATTTACTCTAATATGACTTATCTTTCTAAGCCGAAGTGAGGCTCTATTTATTATGTCACACTTCCTAGTTCTTAGTATTTGAGGACATACTCAGATTATATTTATTTAAAATGCAAAACTCAGCCCACAGTTATGGTTTAATTGAAGACTTGTGTTGTTAGTATTTAAATTGAATGAATAAATGCAAAATCATTTTTGGATGCAACAGAGTTCAGATTGTTGTGGGAACAATTTGTAAGGTAAAAAAGGGGTAAAGTTGTCCCTGTGCTTAACTAATTAAGCGCTATACCATGAGGGCATATTGGGGAGTGGATGTATAGATTCACATTTCCTTGACCTTGGCACTAGCGCCCCTGCCACTTTACTCCCCTGGGAAAGAGCCCCTGGTACCAATTGGATACGAGGCTGGTTGGGCTCCAGAGCTGGTCTGGACAACATGGAGAAGAGAAAGTTCTTGACCCTACCCAGACTCAAACTCTGACCCCTTGTTCGTCTAGCCAGTTGCTACTTTCTATACTGACTATGCTATCCTGGTTCCTCTTGGGAACAGCAATGACAAATCAAAATTCTTTTCACTAGGAAATTCGGAACTGATTAAATTCAAAGAATCATTGCCCTTTTTCAGTTCAGGAACTTTTATGTGCCAATTTCCTGTTTAAAAATGTAAAGTTTAAAGTGCATGGGACCATAAGTCTATTTTATGTCAGGCAGTTCTCTATTTGTGTGAAACTTAATTTCTCATGCAAAGGGAAGGACAGTGATTAAGAACATCTAATAGTAGTGATGTATTTATTTTTTTTTATTTATTTCGTCTCTATACATCATTGTTACATGATATAGGACAAGTCAGTTACTGTACATTGGCTGATTACAATAAGAGAATAAAGTTACAATACTTAAAATTGTTTACAATAGATTACAGTAGTTAAGATTTCATATAGTGTAAGGTGGAATCCATATTAGGTCCCCTCAGCACGTCGGCTTCCATATGTCCTATTGTACCTGTACTGGTGATAATGCTTATGTAGAATTTGATGGCATGAG